CGGGTAATGATAAGAAATACGGAAAAGTTAAAAATTTTATTCCGATATATTCCAAGTGAGCATAACCCTATGAAGATTGCTACAAACTACAAAAAGGCGTCCTCCGGAAAAATTGAAGAAATATGAACCAAAATGGTTAAAAGAATCCGAAGTTAAGTGGTCCCAACGGGAATATCAGACTATGAAAGAATACAAAGAGGAGGAAGAAACAGAAGAACGAATCATTGAAGAAGTTATGAGTCAAAAAATCGAAAATATAAGCTTTTGGGTCATTGACACAAAAAGACAACTATTTGAGTTCGTAAATTTATTGAAAGAACAACAAAATGGAAATTATCATAGTTAAATGCGCTACTGATAAAAGGATATTGATTAATAGCGAAAAATCATAAATTAGCTAAATGGATATTACATTACCGAAGAAGAAAGAGAAAAATGGAACTTCTACTACAACAATGTGAATATTGGAATTGTCTAGAAAATTTGGAATTGAATGAACGAAGCAAAATCCAATTTATTCGCCAGGATATAACGCATCATGTGAATTATGCAAAGCGCCAGTTTAATCTCCATAATGATCCTGATTGGGCTTATCAGAGCTTAGCTTTGTCTCCAACTCCAGATATATTTTTTTTCTAAAAAAAAATCCCACAAAGTCAGTTTTCTTTCTTTTTTTACAATGAAACATGCTCTATACGGTCCTTAACACTTATCTCTTATCACTTCAATCGCCAAATGCACAATCTCTTCTTTTCTTTCTTTACATTTGATACTTTTCCCGAAACAAGTTTACCAGTTTAAGAAGGATGGCTTCTTATACCTCAGTTAAATCTATTAACAAAAAAAAACTATTGCTGAAGGCAATGACATGAATTTATTCGTTAAAATTGATCACTCCAATAAAACTTCTATCGCTAATAAATGAATGAAAATATAGCTTTTACGATGATTAATGCAGTGATTGTTTGATATCACTAGTGATTAATTGTATGATTTGATCACTGTGTGCAATAAATGTAATGAAATTATAATCATAATCAATGATATGCGGTATTATTGATAACAGTTGATATGATGGTGTTGCCGATGACGGATGGTATGATAATGTTTATCACTAGTCATGAACATCTTAATGATACTTGATAATCATATGTTCATCTGTGCTCCATTTCCCACTACTTCGTTTCATATGCAATTTACGGAAATATCGTTTTCCCGCGATTTCCGGAAATGTCTTTGTAGCATTGGTGCATTTTGGATTTTCTGCTGCTATAGCGAAACAGTTTGGCGTTTGTTACAGTTTTGAATGACGCGGGAATGATGAAAAAACGGGAGGAAGTAGGCGAGAAACTATTGGGGAAGAGCAGGGAAACGTATACGGCGGGTAATTGATAAAAGTGATAAATGATAAGTGTTAACGAAGGAAATGGATATATATATATATGCATATGTATATATGTAGGATGCTAGGATTAATAGTAACTGGTAAATGATAATTTAAGTATTGTTTTATTCCAGTTTCAACAAAACTTTCGTAGTTCAAAAATTTATACTCTTATTATCAAATTTTATCAATGGTAACAAACGATGATGAGCAGCTTGAACAGCAGCGAAAATTATGGCACAGATTGTTTAAAATGGACAAATTTCGCGTTGTCTTACGATTACCACGGAAATATCGGCATCATCGTTGGAATGCTATTCGTACGTTAGGTGATGGTAAATTATTACTTTCGATTTATTTTATTTTTTTTTAAATTATCAAGATTTTTATTTTGATATATTTTTGGAAAAATAGATGGCATTCAAACTTGTCGAGTATTTTATTAGCATAGTTTGGTTTTTTACATTTAAGTAGTCCTTTTTTGTGAAAGATTTTCAGACTTTTAGTGTTTTAAAATACTTAAAAATTTCAAACTATTTTCAAGGCGCATTTGGTGAAGTTCGTTTATTGGTAGATTCAAAAAATCCAGAAACAGTGGTAGCTGTGAAATGTATGAATGCAAATGCATTAGGAAAGGAAGAAGAATTGTTTAAAAAACTACGTCGAGAGGTTATCCTATTGCTTTTTACTTGGGAATACAAAAAACTACTTACAAAATGCTTCGCTCAATACTTAGCTTGTTACTTTTCATCGGGAACTGAATTCAGAAACGTCGGGAAATTATTCAAAAATAAAGGAAAATGTCATTTCCTCACTTTATCACTTTTTGTTCACTGTGGCGAAATCATTACTTGTAATAGAAACTCCATAAGTTTCGATATTATTAGGTGATTTCGTACAAAAATTTCCAAATATTGACAACTTTTAGATAACATGCTTATAACTAGACATTATTGCAGGCGTTTATCATGCGTATATTCCGCAATTCTGAACATGTCATTCGTTACATTGGAATGCGTTATGACGAGGGACGTATTGAAATGTTTCTCGAATATGCTGATGGAGGCGAATTGTTCGATCATATCGGTAATGTTTGATGCTTTGTGCTTAACAAAACATTTTACAAATCTTAATCTTTTAGCTTCAATATGACATCGTTTGGTCTTCTTTTTGAATTAAATTTTCAGATTGCTTAACACACGGCTTGCTCTTGAATCATTGATACCTGCTTCAGTAATTGATTGTAACTGTATATTCGTTAATTATACCAAGTATGACATAAAGTTTGCGGTTTTCATCTTTTTTCTGTATCTTCATTGTAACATTTTGAGAACCGGACAGTGGCATGCCAGCGTGGAAGGCGCAGAAATTTTTCCGACAGATTATTGCTGGCTTGAAGCATATTCATTCAATGGGTATCGTACATCGCGATATCAAGCCGGAAAACCTATTACTTATGAAAAATGGTATCTTACACTAGACTAATGAGTTTGCCTTCCTTATGAGGGTTAAGTAATAATCATTCTTTAAATTTATAAAGTGGGATCTCTGATCAAATTATTTTATAAAATCAAATGGTATATTAATGACTTAATTCTAATCAATCTGTTTTGAACTTGATATTGTTGTGTTTATTGCAGGTCAATTAAGAATTTGTGATTTTGGTCTAGCAACAATATTTCGCCATAAAGGAGTGGAAAGAAAACTGAAATCTAAATGCGGCACAGTACAGTATCTTTCTCCTCAGGTGTTAGCGTCAAATTACAGGTTCATCTATTATACTGATTATTGCATGTTTTGTTCTTCATTAACTGTAGGACCTAAGGAATATTATCGATTGAGGAATTATGCAGAAATGTTTCCAGAATGATCCATTATATATTTGTGGAAGAAATTCTTCATGTGTTTTCATATCAGATTATTAAAGATTAACAATGCAAGAGTGTATAATGCTAATTTTTTGTGTTCAGAGGTGAACCATCTGATGTATGGTCTTGCGGAATTGTACTCATTGCAATGCTTACTGGTGAATTGCCCTGGGACGAAGCGACTAAGTATGTTTTTGAAGTAATTATGTCCAGTTGTCTTGTGATTTTTAACAGTTTTCTATAGTTACGTATGAATAATTTGTTACGTCTTTTTTCAGAACTTCACATCCTTACAAACTTTGGCTTACGCAATATGATTGGAGACATTATCCACCTTGGGATAGACTTTTTGGACCAATAACAAGTACATCTTGTAACAATATTTAATATAATGCTGCAGTTAACTGTTCTGATTCCCTTTTCGCGAAATGTCAATAACTATGTCAATCTTTTTTCAGTTTTTTTAGTATATGTAAAATAAACTTTCATGACAAGTTGGTCATCTTATTGTTTTGGTGCTTTAACTACTAGATGCAATTTATCTATTGTTTGTATTTCAGTTATCTTAATCAGTCAAGCCAAAGTACCAATTAGCAATGTTCATTTAATTACTATTCTTTTACTGCAAATATCACCGCTTAATTGTCATACTTTTAGTTTCCTGAACGGCTGGTTACTAAGAAAACGTTAAGAACGCTAAGAGAACGGCTAATTCTCTTAGCTATATGTAAAGTAAGTTTCAGATTTGTTACGAAAGATGCTGGATGTCTGTGAGCGGAAACGAATCAAAATTCCGGATATTGAAGAACATGAATTTTTCCTAGAGAAGATAAGTAAGTCTGATTTTGTTACAAACTTTATTGATCAGAAATATGCATGAAAGTTCAACAGTTGATCGTGTTTTTTAAAATTGTTTGTACTTTAAGATTATGAAATCCCAAGTGCCAAAGCCATGAGGGGAACTAAGATACGAACAATTGAAACTACAAATGTCGCAACTCTTCCACCGAAAGCCGTTAATATCGCACCAACTTGCGAAAATCCAGCAAATTTGAAGGGAAATAGCGAAGCTGCAGGACTGCCAAACTTGTTAGAGGAGATGGCAGTTGTGGATCAAAAAGAGCCTGATCTAAAGAAGGTCAAACTTTCAACTTCTACCAATATTGAAGAGAGGTAATGTCTTTCGTTTCTTTTTCTTTTTTGTAAACCTTATGTCGATAAGCTTCTAATTTTCATTTATTCAAGATCGTTTCATGGTTTTTTCAACATCGGAAGTTTATCAAAAGAACTAAAATTTTGAAAATTATTGTATGGTCTTTCGTTCTTTAATCAGTTCATTTAATTGTTGACCATCATTTACTGTATGTGAAGTTTATGCACAGTCGATAAAATGTCTGATAAACTTCGGTAATCACTGGATTTTTAGGTTGGAATTACCAGTCAGTGCAGTTTCTCAGCCGGTTCCATCTTGTAGCATTTCGCAAACAATAAGGTACGCCTTTGTAAGTTTCTAGGAAAAGTGATTAAAAACAACTGGTATATAACTATGCTCGCTTGAAGGGCGCTTTTGCTGTTAAATGTGAAAAGTTTTTTTTTTGTTTCCAATTGAGAAAATGGTTTTCTTCAGGTTAACGGATCTTAACTAACCTTATTGCTGCTCATAATTTTGCAATCGGTTTCACCAATAAATCCTCAAGACACGTTGGACATCAAATTCCGGATAGCATTTTTACATAGTTCTGTGGATATTTCAAAACTAGACATCCGAAATTTGCAAAAAATTAAATTATGGATCTGTTTTGTTTATCGACATTAAGTTCCAGGGAATTACGATTGGACGCACTGACTGGTAATTTCTTTTCACAGCCTGTTGGTGTAGAACTGTTGACACAGATCGACTACGATATCAGTCAGGCGAGTTATAATTCATAATAGCTGCTTTCTTATCAAATTCAAAACGTTTAAAAACTCATTAAAATCGGCGTCTTTAATTTTGAAAACTACCTTTCATGCATCTCAAAAATGTCAGCTTGATAAAAGAAATCTTGCAAAGGGTTAAGCTAATTGATAAGTGAAGCCTATTACGGTTGATGACATCGTTTGGCTCTTCTGGAATGATTTTGGGCCATGCGCAGTTGCTATTATTGGCCTTATCTGACTGTAATTCAAGATGGACTAGACGCTTAACAGCCTTGGAAAGCGCACTGGAAAACAAATCGAATCCATTTCTATATACATGCTTAAATTTTGTTACAGCATCCGTTGACACTCCTAGCGCGTCGTATGACACGTTTCTGTGTGACGAAGCGAACATATGAAATTATGTCAATCATCAAAGAAAGAATGGATCTCCAATTTACATGTGTGCAACGTGCACCTAATACGGTAATTTCAAATTTTTTCACTAAAAAAGCATAAATAAATGTATGAGTACGAAATAAACATATATATATATATATATATATATATATATATATATATATATATATAAG